CTAATTCTTCTACATATTCTTTCAATATGTACTTCCCAACTCGGGGTGCAATCAGTCACAACCCCCAGGAAGTTATTACTTTTTACTTTAACTATTTCCCTGTTCTTTATTAAAAATTTTAGATTATTTTCCTGCCTACATTGTTTTGTCAGGAAAAGAATGCGATTTGTTTTAGTTGGGTTTATAGATAAATTATGTATTTCAAAATACTGCTCTGCTAAGCCTATATTGTCTAAGGTTAATGTTTGGAGTCCATTTATATCTTGACCTATGTTCAATTTTGATGTGTCATCAGCATACATTATTATTCTGCCTTGTGTTGGATGTGGAATATCATTTACATATAAAATTAAAAGTAATGAACCAAGGACAGAACCTTGAGGAACTCCATATCTAACTGTAAGGCTACTTCACAAGTATTCTTTCATTTGATTGTTTGCTGCATGTGGGACTTTTACTTATTCTGTTCTGTTTGTGAGATAGGATTAGATTAGCTTATGTGGTATGCTACAAACTCCATATTGGTATAATTTATCGATGAGAATGTTACGCTCAATACAATCAAATGCTTTTGATAAATCTAATAATACACAATTGCACTTTATTTTATTCAGATTTTCAATGATTGCAGCAATTGCACAGATTTATTAAGTATATTGTGTTTACCTAAGAAAGAAATTAGCTATTACCTTTTCCAGAACCCTTGAAAGAGCTGGAACAAGATTAATTGGACAACAATTGTTTGAATCTTCTTTCGTCCCTTTTTGCAAATTGGTTTCACAACTGATTTTTTTAATGTAGATGGGAAGATGCCTTCTCTAATTGCTGCATTTATCAATTCTAATAGTGGTCTTATCATGTAGGGTACACATTTCTTTAATAAATAGGGGCAGATGTCATCAAGTCCTGATGAAGTTATTCATTCAGCACAGTGATCTGAAATTAGACTTGTTTATTACATCAGGCATGTTAATAATGTTTTGGTCTATAATTGTTGCCATAATTTAAGTTACTGGAGTGGGTATATTAATTGTTATAGTCAGATTAAAAGCATTTATAACATTAGTAACTGTGGTCACGCCCATTTTCTTGAGTATTTATGTTCAAGTCACCTACTATTATAATATAACAATCTTTCTGTACTAATTGCTCAAGAATACCTGTTAACGAAAACGAAAGCATATAATTTATCCCAGTCGCGAAAACCTTACGGAGATTAATTCCCTAGATTATAATTGTATGTGACTTGACCGTGACCACGTCGGTTATCTGGCGGCCCTCCTCGGTATTATCAGTCTTTCTTGAACTTGAATTGTTTACAAGTGTAAGACTATTCTTTTCAATCTTGGTTTGCGGAAGTAGTTTGAAGGAGGAAAGATAGCGTCAGCCTTTAATGCTTGGGACTTCCTACATTCCTTGCAAGTCTAAGATTACAGTCGCGTACTAGACACTTGGTTTCTTTGTTTGTTACAATCGCGTTCTTGCCAAGCGAAAGGCGTCCAGTTTGGCGGTACTCTTATCTAGCGCTGTGCTGGATTGAAAATAATACAAAAAAGAAAAGGAAACCTTGCTCATCTTTCATCCAGATCAGCTTGTATGAAGGTAGAATAGAATTAGAAATATATCTGTGACTCCTATACTGTGTATTATAGACGAAGGCTGTCATTTCTAATCGACGCGATTGCTACAAATCTACAATTGTACAATATATGCGTGAATTACAGTGGGAGGATCAGGATAATGTGAATAAATTAATTTGGTTTTCTGTGTGTTGTTCGAAACTCAATAAGTTAATTCTACTGTTTCTAAAAGTATTATAGTTTTAATTTCAAGTACAAGTTTGATAGACAAGCATCTTTATGCCATTCAATGTAAGTACAAGATGGAATTATAACCTTCATGTACCAAACACTAATCTCAGTAAATATCAGCAAGAAGTTTACTGTACTGTAATTAATCTATGCAGAAATCTTCCTCACATTATATAAAGTCCGGATTGCAATATAGACTGTCATAACTATAATTTATGAAGATTTCTGTCTTCTGGAAAGTTAAGCAAGCAAGCACTAAAAGATTTTCCTATCTCACTCTTACTCCATTGAATAATTTACCAAAAATTCTCAGCTATCATAAATATATATATATATATATATA